GGCTGTTGATGGGCTTACCTAGATGGGAATACATCCGGCCTGTGTTGAAGGTCCTGCACTGGCTACCAACAGCATACCAAATCCGTTTCAAGGTGCTGGTGCTTACCTTTAAAGCACTATATGGCCAGGGTCTGACATACCTGAGGGACCGCCTTTCCTCACATATACCCCAGAGAGCACTGAGGTCGGGGTCATAGAACCGCTTGACCCTGCCGGCCCCAAAGAGGCCAGGCTCACTGTGACGAGGGCCATGGCTTTCTCAGTGGCGGCTTCTTGCTGGTGGAATGAGCTCCTGGAGGAGATCAGGGCCCTACGGGATCTATTGCAGTTCCGCAGGGCCTGCAAGATGGAGCTCTTCCACCAGGCCTTCAATTAGGAGCCGGCCCCACCCACTAACATCAATGAGCCCGCATGATCAATGAGCAGGCATGAGAAATGCAGCAGGCAGTTGTATCTTCCACAGAAAGTGTTTCAGCAAGCATCAAAGCAAGCAACACGCCTCCTAGGCAATAATTGCGCGTTTCGACAAATTCTTCTTCAGGCAGACATATTTTCCTGGAACTGAATAACAATATACAATATGACACAATATAACACAATATACTTTAGCATAATAACCAGGGGAAAAAGAAGCTAGCTTGCTGGACTCACCCAAAGCTCTCAATTTTACTGTAAACACGCATATTTTTGCCTAGGAGGCGTGTTTCTTGTTTTGATGCCTGCTGAATTACTCTTTGTGGAGAATATAACAGCCTGCTGCATCTTCCACCATTTATGACTGTTGCAATTTTCATCAGTCCTTTATCAGGAGCAAGATAGTCTACAGCGGTGGAATAGGTCTTTGTAGCTGTGGACTTTTCTACTAGTAGATACAATGTACTTTAGGTTTTTGTATGTATGTAAGATATACTAGAGGAGCTGCGGTGGCTCAAGTGGTTAAGACGCTGAGCTGCAGGCTGTGGAAGGTCAGTAGTTCAGCAGTTCGAGACCCGGGTGCCGCATGACGGAGTGAGCTCCCATCTCTAGTTCCAGCTCCTGCCAACCTAGCAGTTCGAAAGCAAGAAATTGCAAGTAGATAAATAGGGACCGCTTTGGTGGGAAGGGAACAGCGTTCCGTGCGCCTTGGTGTTTAGTCATGCCGGCCACATGACCACGGAAACGTCTTCGGACAGCGCTGGCTCTTCGGCTTGGAAACGGAGATGAGCACCGCAACCCTAGTCAGATTTGATTGGCTTTCGAGCAAGGGAACCTTTACCTTTTAAGATATACTAGAGTCTGTATTGCAAGTAAATCAATATATGAAGATACAAGTACATATTGGTAGAAGTGTGTTTTGTTCTATCACGGTGTTTCTTTATGGTTGTCTCACCTGGAGGGTGGCAACCTCTAGTACCCAGGCTTCTTTTCCGTCCCATTCCCATCCATACACTAGAACGCGAAAGATTCCCCCCGAACAAAGCTGCGCACCAAACGCGTAGAGGCTGTGTAATTATTAAAGGTCCATTTCCCTCCATACCAGCGTGATCCCTGAGCCATCCTTGAAACAAATGGAGCTTTCCTGATGCTGCTTTAACACGTTGCCAACTTTCCGCTTGTCTGAATGGGTCAGCCTTGCCCCCCTCCTCGCCTTACTCGATGTACTATTTTGCCCTTGAGGATACCGCTACTTCTTCCGCTTTGATCTAGCGCATCGCTGCCTTGATTTCGCTCACGAGCTCAGCTGTCTCCTGCAACCAAGCTGAGCGTCTGACTCTGCGTGTGGCGCTGTTTTTGTGGGACGTGGGGGTGTGCCTCTGAGAACGTGACTCCCAAGGAACGCTGGCGTGATATGGCCATGGGGGCCTGTGTCCGCTGTCCTCTCGTTCCGGACATTAGAGGCCAGATTGCGCACGACTCGTTCCCCTAGTTGGGTCTAGCTTAGGGCTGCCAGCGCTGGGCGGGGAAATTCCTGGGTATCTGGGGGCGGGGCCTGGGGAGGGTGGAGTCTGGGGGGAGGAGGGACCCCAATGGGGTAAAACGCCAGAAAGTCCAGCCTCCAAAGAAGAGGACCTGGTTTCCATTTTGTGGAGCTCAACTGTAATTCTGGGAGATCTCCAGGCCCCACCTGGAGCCTGGCAACCCTTCTGGCTCCCCCTGAATAGACCCTCCCATCGGTCAGACATCAGGTGTTCAGCACGAGTTTCCCAATAGGGTTGCCAGCTCCAGGTTGGGAAACACCTGGAGATTTTGGGGGTGGAGCCTGGGGAGGGTGGGATTTCAGGAGAGGAGGGACTTCCGTGGGGCGTAATGCCATAGACTCCCCCTCCCAAAGCAGCTGTTTTCTCCAGGGGAACTGATCTCGGTTGCCCGGAGCTCAGTTGTAATCCCGGAAGATCTCCAGCTAGCACCTGGAGCTTGGCAACCCTATCCCCCTAGCATCAAAGGGACCTGATTGAGACTGGGACTGTGTCCAAGGGAAGGGGAAGGCCCCCTCCTGTGATCAAAATCAGATAGGGTCGTCTGCTCTGGGTTGGGAAATGCCTGGAGATTTGGGGGGTGGGGCCTGGGGAGGGCGGGGCTTGAGGAGGGGAGGGGCCTCAGCTGCGTGTAAGGCCATAGAGTCCGCCCTCCAAAGCAGCCATTTTCTCCAGGGGAGCTGATCTTGGGAGATCTCCAGGTGCCACCTGGAGGTTGGCAACCCTAGGACCGGGCTTCTGCCACACTTGATCCAGCTGGGGGTGGGTGGGGGAGGTTTCATATCCACTTTGCCCCCAAGGGCTCCGTCTGCCACTTAACACAGGTCGTTCTTGTCTCCTAAGGGACGAAAGTAAAGTGAGGAATCGGGACGTCCCCGCTCGCTATGACCGCCACGGCTTTAAGGATGGGCCACTAAGGAACGGTGTCATTGGCCAGCGGCCGCCCTCCATCAACCCCGAGAGACTGAAAGATTTTGGAGAGGAAGACTACCTCGGCGGGGGCGTGAAGACGTGGGAAATGAAGATCGTGAGCCACAACGAGGAACTGCTGAGAGACTCAGCCAGCCGCCCGGATAGGATTACCTTGTCGGCCTACGATAAATGCATTCGATTTGAAGATATCAGCGCAGCAGCTTTCAAAATCCAGTGCGGAGTCCAGAAAACACCCTGTATGGTACGGTTCTTGTTTTTACAATGCTCGTTAAGGCTTCAAAGCCAACCTGGAAATCTCTTGTTAGCAGGGGTCATTTCGTAGAAAAAGAGGTGCAGGAGCTCATTAGCATAACTCATTAGCATAACTTATTTGCATATGCCACACCCCCTGACATCACCGGAAGTGTGTCAGAAGGCAACATCCACCGCTCAGGCTCCACTGGACTGTTTTGGATTGCTAGCTATTGGGGGGGGGAGCATGCAGATCTGCCCTCACAGAGGAGGGAGAGCTTGTACCTGAATAAAACTTGGACTGTTTTGGACCAGGGGGCAGGGGCGGGGCAGGGTGGGGCTCTGCAGCTTACCTGGCTGCTTCTTGCTCTGACTGAGGGCCGCTGGGAGCAGGGGGCAGGGCTTGTTGCATGTGCCCGCCCCCTGGGCTCTATACTGCCGGAGCTCCGCTCCTGTGTGCTCCTGCAAGAAATGACCCCTGCTTGTTAGATATCCCATTGATTTCAGGAGAGTCCCAGTTACCAGTTTGAGGACTGTGGCTTCAGTTGGAATTTGTGTTTGCAAAACAAGAGTTATCCAGGCAAGGTTCACTGGTATCTTTTTTTTTATTACGGTTGCCAACTGGGTTGAGGAGTTCCTGGAAATCTGGGAGAAGCGCTTGAGAGGCTGAGCTTGAGGAGGGACCTCCACAGGGCATAATGCCATAGAGTCCACCCTACAAAGCAGCCATTTTGTTTTCCCAGGGAACTGATCTCTGTGGCCTGAGGATCAGCTGTCGTTACAACCCGATTCCCAACACTGCCTAGGCCAGAGGTGTCGAACTCATTTGTTATGCGGGCCGGATCTGACCTAAATGAGACCTTGTTGGGCCGGGCCACGCGTGTCATAAAACGTAATGCCAGGCAGCGGAGAGATAAACTTTATAAAGGACACAAACACAAAGGTGGTTTTTTTTAACTTAAAGTAAAAACAGGCTTACAACATTAGCTCTGTAAGCTGCAAACCTACTTTTGCTTTATTGACATTTACCACAGAAGTCTCAGGCTCAGCGTTCTGAGTCTAGGACCCAGGGGAAAACATGAAATGGCGGAGTGATTAAGAGAGTCTGGCGAAGCAAGCGATGATGCAGCAGCAGCAGCAGAACTGGAAGCAGGAGACTGGGGCCAGTTCCACTGTGGGCCTGATGGAAGCCCTCCGCGGGCCTGATCCGGGCCCCGGGCCGCACGCTTGACACCCCTGGCCTAGGCAAATGCTGGGAGACTGGGGGAGCAGTAGCTGAGGAGAGTTGGGGAGGATATGATGACTCTATTGGTGAGATGATATTCTCGGACAGACATGTCAAACATACGGCCCGGGGCCCGGAACCAGCCCATCTAGGTCTAGGGTTGTCAAGGCCTACCTTTGTAATAGTGGGGGGAGTCCCGGACGTCCCTTGGGAGCCTCCTGGCGCACGCTCTATCCCGTCACCCGGAAGTGACACAATCACATCATGCACGTTGGGGGAGGGGCCACAATCATCCAAGGGAAAACCATAGAGTTTTCCCTTGGATGATAGAGCGTCCCCCCCCCGCAACGTGCCTGACGTGATCGCGTCACCTCCAGGTGATATGTTCACGCCGGGCATGTCACACACTTTGGGGGTGGGGTCCCCCCCCCTGGTGGCCCAATCCCCGCCGGCGGGGAACGGGCCTCTCGGGCGGGGGTTTTCCCGCCCCCCGGGGGGACTTGGCAACCCTATCCAGGTCTCTTATCCAGCTTGCGAGCAACTGGGGGGGAAACCAGCCCAAGTGTGGACTGGAAGGGCCTATATGAGGGTATTATACCCCCTGTAGTATGTAGGCCCTCCCTAAGGTCTTCCCCCAGATCTCCAGGGATAGCCCAACCCAGAGCTGGCAACCATGAGGGGCGAGGAGGGCTGCTGAGGAGGGGCATGGTCAGAGCCAATGGTAAAATAGGTCCGGTACCAGTGTTCCCTCTAAGCTGAGTTGGTGTGAGCTAGCTCACAGGTTTTAGCCTCCGGCTCACACATTTTTGTCTCGGCTCAGGAAGGAATGGCTCCAGAGCAAACTAATTTATGCAGTTGCCAGATCACTCGCTCACCACTTTAATGCCAGGAGCTCACAAAGTAGAATTTTTACGCACAAGACTCCGCAGCTTGGAGGGAACATTGTCCGGTACCTGGCATTACATTTTACAGCACACATGGCCTGGCCCGACAACGGGACATTTATGTCAGATCCATCCCTTGTGGCAAATGAGTTCGACACCTCTGCTTTAGCCCCTTAAAACACACAACAACACCTGAAATCACTTACCTGGAGGGAGAGGGAGTGGTTTAACAGTGACAACAGTCCAATCGTTGAAGGTGGGTGGGGCAAAGAAAACCAATAGCAACATGACACATGAGGAAAAGAGCTGACTTAAAATTGGCTTCCAGCAAAAGATCAGGGTAAAAGTGGTCGCAAGGACAAGTAAAGGGGGCCTAAACCCAAGGGCCAAGATACACGACCTGACGCGTTTCCGCCCCATTGGGGCCTTCTTCAGAGGTCAAACAATATTGAGGTACACGTAACTTTAATACATATTACAATAAGTGGACCAAGAAAAGGAAGGCTGTAGAAAAAGGATTAAAAGGATATTAAATATGAATAATCAAATATTTTTTAACTTACAGTGTACTAAAAAGAGCTATATTACTGTCCGAATCCCCACACATTCCATTGAGTACACGTTTGTAGTAAAGTAGTATTTATTGAAGCTATGGAAAAGCTGGAACACAGGGACTGTTTGGAATGCCCAAGAGGTTCAGGGCACGGGATAATAAACAGATTCGTACATGCAATAACCAATGATATTGGTTCCCGCTTCCACGGGTACGTTGAAACTCGCGCCTAAAGCCCGAGAATCAACTGCTCCTGAAAGTTAAACAATTAATTGCTTCTCATGCTCTAATCAAGCGGCTCCGGCTCCGCACCTGTGACCTTGCAGATAACTACGTTTCAAGCAACACTAGCGTTCATAGAAAGGAATTCCTATAACAAGCTGCTGACTTCATACTATTATCAAGCATGCGCAATTGGGTCTAAGCAGACCAGGGCTTGAACGGGAGGGATTCATGGCACAGACAAGTCATACAGAAAATACATAGAACTAATTGGCAGCTCGCTGACAATTACTTACTTAAGCAGCAAAATCTAAAGACACAAGACAAAGATGTTTGTGAGGCCTCAAAAGATGGAAGTCATGTGTCTGGTGCCACATGCACAGTTGCTGAATTAGAACATCTACAAGATGAAATATATTTTAAAAGCGAATGCAGTAAATGAAAGCCAATATAATAACAAATAACAGGTGACGTCATCGCGCCAGGTACATCAGACGCCAGGAAGCTCTTTGGGGGCAGCTGGCCGGCGGGTGGATCAGTCGAGCAGAAATCGGGGGGAAATCCGCCCCCATTCGGGGGTGGCAACCCTATTAGGGGCATGTGGATTCCAGATGGACAGCACTGCACCAGCACCACACGGTCACTTTTGGCATGAACCTCGAAGTGACATAACTGCATCAGTATGATGCTGTAGGTTTCACCCAAAACTCTATGGTAAAGCTATAGAGTTTGGGTTGGATCCTAGAGTGCTGCATCAAGGCAGTGACGTCACTTCCAGATTTGTACCAGAAGTGATGTTGTGGAGTCAATGTGTTACCATTTCCCACCCTCCTCTTTTTGCTCTTGGGAGCTCCTGGGAGCCCGGGGCCCAAGGTGGGAGGTTTCCCACCAAAGCAGGAGACATCACTATTTCTGGGGAAAGTTGACAGATTGTTTAACAACTGTGGCAGAGATTGTACATCAGACCACTTGAAAACTTTTATCAAAGGCTTTGAACAGGTGTGTTAACGGCATCCCATAGTATGTTCTAAAGGTATACCATAGGATGTACAGTTCAAGCAGCTCAACAGTGAGGCCCAATAAGCCAGTATTGTGCATGAATTGTGTATCCTAGATATGCCCCATATGTAGCAGGAACCCCTTTGCATGTTAGGCCACACACCCCTAATGTAGCCAATCCTAATGAGTTCCTGCTGTTGGGTGTGGCCTATTATGCTATTGAGTTCCTGCTGGGTGTGGCCAACTTGGGAGCCAGCCGGAACTCCGTTCCTGTGCGTTCCTGCCCAAAAATAGCCCTGTGGCTGGTGTTCTCAGTACGGTTGCAGCGAACTGTGTGTTGTGTACGAAATCGGCACTTGAGTTGGGGTCTCCAGCCTCCACGTGGGACCCGGAGGTAAGAACATAAGAACATAAGAGACGCCAATGTTGGATCAGGCCAAAGGCCCATCCAGTCCAACACTCTGTGTCACACAGTGGCCAGAAATACCAGTGCCATCAGGAGGTCCAGCAGTGGGGCCAGGACATTAGAAGCCCTCCCACTGTTGACCCCCCCCCAAGCACCAAGAAGACAGAGCATCACTTGCCCCAGAGCCCCTAGCTATACCTTGTGGCTAATAGCCACTGATGGACCTCTGCTCCATATGCTTATCTAATTCCCTTTTGAAGCCGTCCATGCTTGTAGCACCCACCACTTCCTGTGGCAGTGAATTCCATGTGTTAATCACTCTTTGGGTGAAGAAGTACTTCCTTTTATCCGTTCTAACCCGACCGCTCTGCAGTTTCATGGAGTGCCCACGAGTTCTTGTATTGTGAGAAAGGGAGAAAAGTACCTCTTTCTTTACCTGCTCTTTCCCATGCATAATCTTATAAACCTCGATCATGTCACCCCTCAGTCGTCTTTTCTCCAAGCTAAAGAGCCCTAAGCGCTTTAACCTTTCCTCATAGGGAAAGTGTTCCAACCCTTTTATCATTCGAGTTGCCCTTTTCTGCACTTTTTCCAAAGCTATAATATCCTTTTTAAGGTGTGGTGCCCAGAACTGCACACAGTATTCCAAATGAGGTCTCACCATTGATTTATATAGGGGCATTATTATATTGGCTGATCTGTTTTCAATACCCTTCCTAAT